GCACCCCCCCGCCCGCCTCGCCCGCGCGGCGCACCCAGGCACGCGCGCCGCGGGGCTGGCAGTCCAGACGCTGCAGCCGGGAGCACTCCCGGGGCTCCGGATGGGCCCAGGTTTTCGGGCCGCTCCTGAGGTCCAGGTCGGGGAACCTGTTCGTGCCCTTTGGTCACGATTCAGCCTGATTGCGAAGGCCTTGCGGCCGGTGCCGCCGACCCTGAGGGGGGACGGCAACGACAACAGCGGCGGCCGCCGGCGGCGGCGACGACAACGCTGACGTGGGCCAGAGGGATGCTTGTTGGGGTCTCTTCGGAGGCTCTCGGGGGCCTCTGAGGACGAATTCTGGGGCCTCTTGGGAGTCTTGGGGGCATCTTGCGAGCCTCTTCCTGGAAACCTCTTGCGGGCTTTCTGGGATCTCTTGGGGACCTCTTGGGGCCTCCAGGGAGCCTCTCGGGGCCGAGGGCTCGAAATGCCCGTTCGGGTCCCCCGTCTGTGCACGCTCAGCCGTCCTGGGGGCCTGTTGGGCAGCCTAGGACCTAGGAGGCGTTGTGGGGTGTCTTGGGATCCTCTTGGGCTGTTTGGGGGCCCTCTTGGAGGCCTCTTGGGCCGTCTTGCGCGATCTTGGGGGCCTCTTGGGCCGTCCTGGAGCGGCGGGGAGCGGAAAAGACGAGAACGCCCAAGTCTTGACAAAACCAAATGGAAATCAATGAATTTTGCCTCGTTGGGCCCTGCTCGGGAGTGCTCTTGAAGGCTTCTTGCGGCGTCTTGGCGGCCTCCTGGGCGGTCTGTACGGCGTGCAGGCGTTTTGAACCGATAGTTTGGCGATTGGGGCCCCTCTTGGACCGTCTCGGGGGCGATTGGGGCACTCGTGTCCTGTCTTGGTATTTTCTGAGGCCCCAGGACGGGGGGATGCGTATCTGCCCCCACCCCGGGATCCCACCCCGTTACCCCCTCTACCCCTCCCACACCCCGCAGGACTCCCCTTCCCGACAGGTCCCTGACAGGCGAGGGATCAAAGGGAAGGGGCTTCCCGTCGACTCGATTACGACATTGCTATATTTCTCTCTTGCTGAGAGGCTTGAGGCTGAGGGTGCAGGGAAAGGGGACGACGGACACGACGTTGAGCGTTTTATGTTGGGCTTGCCTGGAGGCCCTCGCGGCCACGGCCGGATCTGCCTCGGAGTTCTGGCCAGAGCGCATCGCCCTCGGAGAGGCAGGGGCGATGTGAAGCAAGAAGGCGACGGGAGGAAGGGCAGCCTACGCTTCGATTCATTGCGGTTCGATTGGGCCGCCATTGCGACTGGATGGACTGGCATCGACCAGGGCCAGGCAGATTGGCTGTCGTTAGCGAGGGTTCTTAAAGGGTCGATTGGTTTTCCTTTTGTGGATGGAAGATGAAGGTAAATATGGTGATGATGGTGATGGTGGTGGTGATGATGATGGTGGTGGTGATGATGATGGTGATGGTAATGATGGAGACGATGACCAATCATATTCTTCCACCCCTGCTGCTCATCATCATCATCATCATCATCATCATCATCATCATCATCATCATCATCATCATCATCATCATCATCATCATCATCATCATCATCATCATCATCATCATCATCATCATCATCATTCATCATCATCATCATCATCATCATCATCATCATCATCATCATCATCATCATCATCATCATCATCATCATCATCATCATCATCATCATCATCACCATCACATCATCATCCATCATCATCATCATCATCATCATCATCATCATCATCATCATCATCATCATCATCATCATCATCATCGTCATCATCATCATTATCATAAGCATCATCATCACCATCCCCATCCCCATCACCATCATCCTCATCCTCATCCTCATCCTCATCCTCATCCTCATCCTCATCCTCATCCTCATCCTCATCCTTATCCTCATCCTCATCCTCATCACCGTCAGTCCTCATCTTCCTCCCCTTCCTCCTCCGTCAGGCCGTATCGGCTCGAGCGCCTCTCGCCGCTGGTCCTTCTCCTGGGGCCAGCGGCAATGTGTGGCGTTTTTGCAGCGCTGAGTCCGCCCCCGTCGAGTGCGCCCCCGTCGAGTGCGCCCCCGTCGAGTGCGCCCCCGAGCCCGACCCCGAGCGCAACGCGGAGCCCTGCGGCAAGACGACGCCGAGCTTGACTGGCACCTCCGATCAGGGGGCGAACTCGGATGCCGACGCGACTTCGGACGCCGACGACGACGCAGAATCCGCGGCTGCGTCGCAGGGCGCCACGTCCGAGCCAGACGGTTCGGCTGCTAAGGGCAGTTCAATTCAGTCCAGTCCAGAGTCTGCCGCGGCTGCAACAGCGAAGGCCTCCCCGAGCAAAGTCGTCGAGAGGTTCGACCCTGGAGGAGCACGTCGCCAGCCGCAGCTTCCAATGCACGTTAGGACGTGCGGTGTTTGCCGCTTTTGGAAACACAGGTTTCAGTTGAGCGCCTCTTTCTCTCTCAATCCAGTAATATGGACAACTTGGATCGGAAACGCTGGTGGATTTGCCATACGTTTCTTTTGCGCGGAGTTCACTGGCCCTCGGTGCCGCTCCGCCTCGGGCAAATGCTTCGGGAGTTCTCGCCGTCGTTGTAACCCCTTACGCCATGCCGAGAGCCATTAGCACCAGGCAGCAGAAGCGGCGTGGAAATAGCGGTTTCGAACGGAAGGCTCGCGCCAGGGTTCCCCGTTTCAGTGTTCACCCCATTTGCAACAGTTGCGCCAGCTGCGACAGCCCAAACAGGTGCAACAGCTACGACAGTCGCGGCGCGAGCGCCCGACGTCGCCCGCGCAGCCGACCCGCACCCTGGTTACCGTGCAGTGGTCGCCGCCCGTGTACGCTTCGAGATGACCAGTTCACTTCGGAGTTTCGACTTGTGGCGGGGGCCGCTCCTCGGGGCCGAGAGCGCAGCGTTGGGGTCTTCTCTACAGTGCCGAGGGCTTGTGTCCACACTGGCTCACTTCGAGAAGCTTGTGGCGCGGGGTATTCTCAAAGAGGGTGTTGTTTTTCGTGTGAGTGCGGACGGTCTCGACCGCGCGTGCCAAGGCGAAATTGGCACATTGTTGTGGTCTCTGCCGCTGGTTTTGGATAGTCTCCACAGCTACGGTGGATAAGGCAGGCTGGCTGGAACAGCTGGGCCTCCAAGGGCCCTGGATCGTGAAACGGTTGATCGCCCGCGGGCCATGGACTGCGACGGCAGGGCTTCCATGCTGGATGACTGCGTCCTCAGCGCGTGCCAGGCGGCGGGCGGGGAACTGGACGTGGACTTGCGCGGGCATGTGGGAGAGGAGTCTCCGGCGTGGTGCAGCGATGGGGCGGATTTGATTGTTCCCTCGGCTGCGACAGTTACGTTCCGTCGGCTGACGTGTTCTGTGTGGGGCGAGTCGCGTCCAGCCCGGGAGCCTCTGGCCAATCCGATGAGAGAAGATGTCGAAATCACGGCGAAGGACAGTGAGCGAGCGCGTTCCGCTACTCGCAAAGTGCCTACTCGCAGACGCCCAGAAAACACATGTCTGCTTCGATGCAATTTCTCGTAGGTCCCCCAGCGGACCCAGGCCATTTGCGAGTAGTCACGTTGCGAGTCGTGGAACGCGTCGGACAAGAATCGCAGGGGAGTTCCCAAGGTCGGCGCATTCTCGCCTGATCTTCCTTGGAAGTGATCGGGGGCGAAAACAGTTCGCTCTTGCTTCGTCGGGGGTTGCTAGCCGATCTGCGCGTGGGGCGCTATTCGTGGGCGGCTGCCGGAGACGATGGCATCCGCGACGCTGCAACCGTTCGAGGTAGGGCCGCCGCGTTCCTTGCGTGACTGGACGCGATGTTCGGCGACGGGGCGACTCTGGGCATTCCCAGTATTTGGACCGGCGTTGCATTGAAGTTTCTGCGGGAGACGTCGTTCCGCTCATGCGGCGCTGGCGTTCAGACTGCTGGCCTCGGTGATGGACGAGGCGGCTCTTCGACGGGCGCAGACCAGTGTGGCCAACATCATGGAACGTATGAAGCTGTATCGGCCAGAGCATTCTTGGTTGCGCGCGCGTGCTGCTGTTCGCCCCCCCCCCACCCCCCCCCCCACCCCGCGCCCCCGCCGCGCCCCCCTCCCCTTGCGCGCGACGGGCGCGGGCGCGACGGAGTCTGCGACAGAAGCCAGGGCCTGTGTGAGTCGCGTCTGCCGAGGGGCAGGCCTTCCAGAGCAGCGGGCAATCGCCGAGCTGCGGTGAATTTTGAAGCGCACCGAGTGGCATCATCGAGACGAGTGCGCCGCGCGGCAGGCTTGGGGCCGTGCTGCGGCAAAATGGCTAGAATTCAACATTGGCCGTCGCCTTGTGGAGTTGCATCTAGTCTGGGAAACGAGCGCGGGCAATATGAGGCGGCGATTCCGCTGCGTCTCTGGGTAGGGCTCGTTTGTTGGGCGTTGCCATTGAGGGGTGCGCGCCCTTGGATCGGGCGCCCCCTGGCAAGTTGCCGCGCGCGTGGCTGGGGCAGCGGGTGGGGATTTCGTGGCTCCTGGCGGTTTCGGAAGATGCTTGCGCTCGGTTCTTGAGTGCTGCTTTGGGCGACCACTGGAGGGTCAAAGTGCCCCGCCCGGCGGTGGCGTTGGGGGCCGAGAACAGGGCTGCAACGTAATGAAGGGCGGCGGCGGCGGAGGAGCCGGCGGCCGATGCATCGCTGGAGGGCGAAAGTGAGGCCGCGCTTGACGCCGAAGGTCCCTCGCGAGCTTCGGGGCCAGCGGCCGACGCCGTGGGCGGATCGCCGGGGATCCCTGGGGGGCGTTGTAATCGCTGATGCCGCCAGGATTGCCAGCCTGCTTTCAATGGAGCTCGAAAAGATCATTGGCTCGTGCGTTGCCGCGTATCAGAACGCGTGCGAGGGCCTGCGTCGGCCCTGCGCCGTGGACTGGGGCGCGGAGCTGGGCTGGGGTGCTCGCGGCAAGGTTTTCCCGGGGCTGAGCCCCGAGGTCAGCCAGGGAGGTGTCGTTGCCATC